TGAGAATATAGTATTCTATGGTATTGCAACTTTTTTTATGGAAGGGGCCCCCAAAATTGCTTTGCCCCAGGCCCCCTGAATCCTCTGGGTGGCCCTGCTGACAATTGCCATCCTATAAGTCTTTTATCCCAGTATATGAATGAAACAAATACTAAGGACCAGATTGTGGCTGTCCCCTGTTTGAGTGCGCAAATGAGTAAGGACCATTATGTATCTTGCATTCTGCCTGCCAGGGCCAGGCATAATCCCAGTCGCTGCATTCTCCCAAGTTCAGTATTAGTTCACTATATGCTCATTATATGCTCTAGCTACCTCAAAGTGGGTATGGAGGAGTCAGGACTGCAGCTTAATGCCTTTACTTATATACATCATGATAGTATGTGATCATGTAATTAAAAATGGTTTTCCCCAGGCAACTATAAATCTGGCATTTGCTAACTTTTGAGTACTTGATTTTGAAATCTAAATTCCTTTTTTAATGTAGATTTTTTGGGCCAGGGTTTGGTTTGGGATGTAATATATACAATATAGTTTGGCTGAGAGATGATTGGGGAAGGCATAATCAAAGTCGACCAAAACGTTAATGAGGAAACAAGAAGTATGGGAGGAAGGAGAGTAATGATGTGGTTTGATAGCGTGCTGAGGGATTTAACTAGAAATAGTTGGGTGAAATAAAGAAAATAAAACAGTAATATAAATATCAGAAAAAATTTCCTTTCATGGAAATGATTAGGCTGTGGAATAATCTTAGGAGAAAATGAGAGTAAACCCCTCACTAGACTGGATTTAACAGCTGTAAATGAATTGCAAGGAACTCTCCTGCATTGGGAAGTAGGGGGATTGGCTCATCTTTTATCACAAGAATCTTTCTATCTCTTCAATACTTTTATGATTAAAAGGATCTTGCCAAAAGAGTGGCTTAAAGAAAAAGACTATTTTAAATCACTGTTCTAATTACTGTAAAAATATTTTTTTATCATTTAGTTACTTTGTACATCTTTGAGAGATTTACAGAAAGAATGATCCCAAAGGAGTTTGTATGTAATTTTCTCTCTCCACTTGCAGCTAGAAGTACTGTATGAAATGGGTATTTCAGATTTCAAGCCCCTCTAATTTAAAAATGGTGCCATCTGTTTAACAGCCTGACTTGATACCCATGGAAGTCAATGGGATTCTTTCCATTGACTTCAGTGGTCATTGGATCAAGTCCTAAATTAGTTCATCTGTTATTGCAGAGTTATGGTGCAGCAGATAATTATAAGTTCTTGCAGTAGCTATTCAGGTATTTATTTCACATAGTGAATTAAGTGTTATACTAAAGTGATATTTCAGGAGATACTGCAGGTGCTACTTCTGCTCTGAACTGAATAAATGTATGGTCTTGGTTTACTGGAAGTAATTTTTGTCCGTTTATGAATAGGTGTAAGATGTGAATTTCAGTTAGGAATCCTGTGTTGTCAGCTCTTTCTTATTCCTTTGTATACTTTTATGATGCAAACAAGGATCTGTAATAATAGCTTCTTGTGTTTTTTGGAGATACTAAGATGTGGAAAGGACATAGAAGGGTAAAAATATTAGCCCAGTAAACAAAGAACAAACAAAGAAACAGCAAGAAGATATAGATGATACTTTTTAATCGACTAAATTAAACTCAGATTGGCCAGCCATTAAGAACCACACTGACTTCTGCAGACAGTCCTAGAATCTATGAATCTATGACACTGGAAAATAAGAGATATAGTTTTAGGGTGTAATTGAAACCTTACAATGAAACTGCGTGAGAGAGTGAAACAAAGGGGAGTTGCTTTTTTATTCTGTTTGGTTTTTAATTATTTTGGTGGGTGGGGGCGGAAGGAGTGCTTAAATATATATTAAAGACTGGACCTCAGATCATGTTTTCCTGGGATTATGTGCAAAAGTGAGATGAACAGGACTTTGCTGCAGGGTTGGGTGTGGAATGCCAGTGTGCTACATGTGATCCTGTATTTTCAATAATGAGCTTTAAAAATATTAATATCTTTTCAGAGAAAATAATAATGTAAGTGTTCTGTGCCTTAAAGGATGGTAACATTTTCTAATCAGTTTCACTATTATTTTTCACTCTGAACAGATCACCGACAAACATATTCCTCATAAGTGTATAGCAGGAATGAGGGATTTTCTCTTTAGATTTAATTTGGAGAATTAATTTCACAAACTAAGAGAGAAAACTTAAAATGAAATTTTCACACATGTCTTTAATATTAGCCAATTTTAAAAAATATTCATATCTGCAGCACATTTTGAATTAATTGCATTATTCTTCAAGATGTTGAAAGCAAATCCATAAATATTTGATCCTCTGAGTTAACAGAGTTACGAACATGGGAAAAGAATAAACTTGGCAGGATTTTAAAAAATGTGTGATAGCACCTGCGAATTGCACCATGAAGATCCTGTGGCCTGTTGGCAAAACAAATTTCAGACATATTTTCATTTACAATGTAATAATATTAATTTGGCAAGGATTGAGTACTCTCCTATTTGTGAATCTAATTTGTAGAGTATTAGTCTGTCTGGTTCCACATGAGGGGTGAAATCCTGGCCCCACTGAAGTCAATGGGAGTTTTTCTATTGACTTTACTTGAGCTAGGATTTCACCTGTGGTACTTTGTTGGCCTTTGAGAAGTATTCTTGGTATTATATCTGAGAGAGAGAAAGTGCCTTTTTACTAGAAGTGGAAACCTCAGTGACAAATAATACTACAATAGCAGAATATCTGCACAGAAAAACAATTTCATGCATTGATCTCTGAAGGAAAACCACTTAGTGAATGCATTGGTCTGGATTTCTATTTAGATGGATTTCAGGATGATATATGTTGTGAAAAAGAACCTATTTACTTAATAGCATTGAGCAAACAAGAATACTGAAACCAGTTTCTATTTATGAATAGCCCAATTGAAGAACTATAAAGTAAATATATTTATTTAAAAGAAGTAAGCCAAAATATAGCTATTTAAGGATCCACAAGAAACTGGTCCCACTCATTGTAGTCAAATGCCTTCTCCTCATCCAGGGAAAGCACCACATGTTGAAGGGAATGTCTTTTTGGCAGTGTTTATAAGGTAATTCCATAAAATCTATAATTCTTTCCAATGAATCTTTCTTGAGTATGCAAAATATTGATTTCTACCCTTCACACCAGAACATTTTGGTAGTGGGTACACCAATATGTGGTTCTTGCTGTTTTTTTCAAGTAGTACAATCATTTTCATGCAATAGTGAGCTTTTGAAGTTTTGGGCCTCTGTTTCTCTTTTTTGTTTAGCCACCCACTTTATATTGTTCAAAAACAGAAAAAAAAAACCATCCACTTTCGACTGGGTCCAGATTTACTATAGTTAACTAGCTGAATTTCTGTTTTTGACTAAGGTCTGAATTAACAGCCTGGATGCTGTAACCTACAGTTTCAAAAGTGTCCACTTATTTTGGGTACCTCAATTTTAGGGTTACCAACTTGAAACATGAAGGGCCTGATTTTCTGAGGTGCTCAGCACTGCAGCTTCCACTGAAGTCAGTTGGAGTTGTGGATGCTAAGTGCTTCAAAAATCAAGTCTCTAGGTATTTTGAGGCTGGACACCAAAAATTGTGCTATCCAAAATAAATTGGAAAATGTAGGTCTCCACCTCCTAAATCATAGAAATTAGAGAGAGAAAAGGATAATATCTCCCAAAGAGTCTCAAGGAGTGTGGAGGATTGTCCTACCTCATTCAGTTTTCCAGAACCAGAAAATAAAATTATATGGCTCTTGTTTTTTTCCCTTGATGTTAGTGTCTGCATACTGATTACTTGCTTTTCAAGAATGGATTAGAATTAAGACACATTAACTAGAATCTAAAAATAGTTAATTGCTTTTTTGGTGGGGGAGAGTTACTATTGATGGCTAAATTGTCAATAGAGTATTTAAAATAAAAGTCTGAAATGTTAATTAAGATTATTTGAGAAATGCTCTTCTATAAATGTTAGGGTTTAGCACATCTGTAATCTGGCTTGCTTTCAGAGTAATTTACATTGCCCTGTCTTTTTCATATTTTATGAAGTAAAATTATTTATAAAGAAACTTGCATGAACTTAGAGTATGCATGTGTTGGTTCACTTAACAGGTAAGATTCTGTTGTCTGCTGTGTTGTTTAAACATTCTTTTCCTATGTAAAACTGTTTTTACTCTTTTTATGTTTCTTCTTTTCTACTATCTCTGGTGATGAAGGATACTCAGAAACCCTTTTTGCAACCTCCCCTGTCATACATACTGTCCATCTAACATTCTATAAGGGTATTGTGATCCTTTTTATCATTATAAATTCAGTAGAGATAGTTGAAAAGCAAAATTCTATACAGGGCCTGCAGTGAGGAATTTTCAAAGTCTGTGAAATACCACATGGAATTAAGGAAATTGTGTACATGCATTACAATACATCCTCTCCTACAGTTCCCAGTACTGAGTGACCTGTAGAATGCTCTTCACTTTTCAGCTGTCTGCATTGTACTTCAAGAGATTTAAACGATAGTATTTTCCAGGGCTTTGGCAATTTGGTATTTTAAAGTGTTTGGCAATTTTAGTGGTCTAGGCCATGCCAGTAGAGTTCATAGATTTAGTTCTCTTTCTAATTTAATAGTGTAGTGACTACCTGCTGTTCAACTACTGCATGTGCTAATGCTGTAATTTAGTCACTAATTTTCAATAATGGAAACAATGAGTATGTATGAACCGTACATTCCATATATGTGGTCCAAATTAGCATAGTGGTTTCTTAAGATAGATTTTATTATATGCATGGAGCCACAATTTCATATTTTGCTTTGTTTTTCTATTGTGTATTCAGTGCGACCAGTTTATCCAAGGATCAGAAATTTTACTGCATCTGCTGCTGAGACCTATGCCAATATCAGTTGGGAGTATGAGGGACCAGATCATGTGAACTTTTATGTTGAATATGGTGTAGCAGGCAGTAAGAAGTCATTTCATTTAATTATTCTAAGTGCTGAGATATATTTTAAAATATTTGAATAACTGAATTTGGCATATATGGATCTAGCTTTATTGATAGTTTTTTAAATGTCTAGAAAAATATCTTTTAATTTGATCTAGCAAACTGAGTCATATTAATATAGTAATAAAAATTCCTGCTCTTCAGGATACATGATGCTTAGAAAATAAGCCTTTGTTCCCTTGTGTTACTTTATCAACTCTTGTGAACAAGAACCATTACTACCTTTAACTGCCTGAAGCTGTTTATCATGCAGTGATTACAATCCTGCTGTGAAAATAAAAAATAAATTGTGGTGGTTCTATTAAATGTCCTAAGAAAATTACAGTGACAAAAATACATATATCAAAATAAAAAAGAATCAAACAAAAGCAAATCTTGTTAAGTTATCCCTTAAAATAGCAGCAGCCAAATAGCATATTAGGAACAGCAAACGTCTACCCACATATTAGCATGTAGTTAATATCAAAAATAAAGCTCTAATCCTCTGTAAGAGCAGTTTGATTTAGTTCTCTTTATGCTTTAACATTAAGATGCTGAGTTGATAAAATGGAGATACTTCCAGTACACTGTCCTTATTAAATGGTGAATAAATGCCAAAGACAGTGTACAGTAGAACCTCAGAGATACAAACACCAGAGTTATGAACTGACCAGTCAACCACACAGCTCATCGAGAACCAGAGGTACGCAATCAGGCAGCAGCAGAGACAAAACAAAAACAAAAAACAAATACAGTACAGTACTCTGTTAAATTTAAACTACTAAAAAAAAGAGATTGTTTAAAAAAAGATTTGTGAGGTTAAGGAAACTGTTTCTGTGCTTGTTTCATTTAAATTAAGATGGTTAAAAGCAGCATTTTTCTTCTGCATAGTAAAGTTTGAAGGCTATATTAAGTCAATGTTCAGTTGTAAACTTTTGAAAGAACAACCATAACATTTTGTTCAGAGTTATGAACATTTCAGAGTAACTAACAACCTCCATCCCCAAGGTGTTTGTAACTCTGAGGTTCGACTATAATTGTAAGTCTTCTTATGAAAAGGTATAAGTTTTGTTCTGAACTTTGCACAGAATCACTTGAGATGATTTTAGAAAAAAACATTCAGAACAATCAGGAACTATTTCCACATCATCTTCAGCATTTAAAGAGAATTTCTCAACAAAAGTAAATGCTGATTAAAAGTGCAAGCAGTATTATCAAATTCAGTAAATACATATTTTCTTTATATAATTTATAATTGAAAATTCAAACACATTTCTTTAAATAGATGCAAAATAATTATCTGTAATGCAGTGGAACAAAAGTACAAAATAAGCATTATTATTTAGATAGTTGTTTTTCTTGATATTGCATGCAGTATAGTACTGACAATCATTATTTTGCCTAAAATTATATTCTTTTTGGAGAAAGCAGTTATTTGTTCAGTAAATCCAAGTTTAGCCAACTGACTATAGGAAGTGTTCTGACTATAACTTAGAGTAGCAGATAGTAACTTAAAATATTCCAACTTGTTGTTTTCCTAAAATTTTTATAGGCAAAGAAGATTGGAAAAAAGAAATTGTAAATGGTTCTCGGAGCTTCTTTGTGTTAAAGGGTTTAACACCAGGAACGTCATATAAAGTCCGGGTTGGTGCTGAGGGTCTGTCTGGTTTTGTGAGTTCAGAGGATGTGTTTGAGACAGGTCCAGGTGAGGCACACCATACCAATTCTGTCTCACATTCAGAATTGTGATATGCCAAGTGCTGAAACATTGAATTGCTGCTAGTGGGGAGATATTGTAGCTAAAACATATTGACATCGTTTTCTTCAGTAGTGCTAAACTACTTTGTAAACTTCTAGACATGCCAGCCTATCTACTTTGTAGACTATGAATGTTTTCCTCCTTTCAGTTCACTTTGTTTCCCTGCCATTTATGTTATGGGAAAAGAACACTTACTGTTCACATTCATTCTGAATTCTGTGCACTTAAGCTGAAATTGTTTCTAATTCATCTTTGAATTGAATTAGAACCTATTGTGCAATATTTAAATAACATGGTGTACTGTAACACAGCAGAATATCTATTTTTAAAACTAACAATCTCAATATCAGCAGTTTAGTTTCCAGAAGCATGATGTAAAGTTGTTATGAGTTATCAGGAGTCTAGGTATCTGATTTAAGTAAATATTTCATGTAATCCTTGAATATATCATATGCCAGTAGGATGAATGATAAATAAGAAGATCTCTAGTAATAAATGTTTCTTTTTCCATCAAATATTGGCTTCCAGATGATGTTTATATCACTTAAACTACAAAATACCATAATTAATAAGACAGCTTTAAGTATTTGAAGTGTTCCAAACATATTTTCCATAGAAAAATAATAGATTTTAGTGCAAGAAAGTTTGCAGCAGTTGTGTCTTTATATGAGAATAAATGATGGCTGTTCATTTAACTCAGAGAAAGGTTTTTATTGGAAATGTATTGATGTCATGATGAATATGGTGTTGCAATATCAGCATGTTCTTGATAAAATGTTATTGTTTGGTCTGTGTTTGCTAGGCACTCTTGCTCATTCCAAGCAATGTGGGCTATGGACAATTATCTAGTAGATCTTACTTTGGTCTCACCTACTACACAAACATTATGATTTAAGAAAATAGATTGCTAATATGTAAAATAGTTTGAGCAATATGAAATAATGATCCCACAGATAACAAAGCAAGTGATTAACATGCCAGTTTGAAAGAGCGTTCACTTTCTAAAATCATAATGTTTTTCTTTTGTTTCATGTTTATAGTACATTAATGCTCATAGTGTTACAATGTTGCTATAGGAAAGCTTTTGAAACATAATGCTAAATAGCAGTGCCCCACAAACATTTGCAGTTTCAGTAAAAAGGTTTTTATTAGTAACCTTTTAGCCAGAAGAGGCTAGTGATACCAGAAAACGGGTATGCAAAATTATATATGTAGGTGTGTTCAGAACCAGTAAGTACCAGAGCGCAAAGATTGTATTGTAACTCACTCAAAGCGGCGGGGGAGGGGAAGTCCAAAACCTTCCCAGTCAACATTCCGTTTAACAATAAAACTTCAGTAGCTCAAAAAGTCAAGACTCCTGTATGTATCTGTCAGTAAGTTAAACACCTTGGCTCCATTCCTTGAGTCTTTCAAGGCTGGGAACACTAGGGGCAATGTTCTCTCTTCCTGGCAAAGTTCAATATAAAGCATTGCTTTTGAGTCCCCCATCAGATGAGTTGTACAGCAAAATTCTTTCTAAAAGAATCTAGCTATGTCACTTTCTGAAATCTGGGCTAATGCTGCTAAACGTTGGGGAGGGGGACAAAAGAGCAAGATACCCTTTTAGAGTACTCCTTGGCAAGGAAGGAAAACCCTAGACTGGGTATGTGAGGCCTCTACCAGAAAATATCTGTTTGTTCTAGCAAGCATTCCTATAGAGCATCTTCATAATGTGTGATTTTTCTCTTCTTGAGTATGTCCAGTATAGTGGGTTATGTTTTTTTTCTCACATATTAGCAGCTTCTGTGTTCATCAGGAGTAAATATCTTTCTGCCAGAAGCAGATAATTAGTTTAGAGTAAACAGAAAATTTTATTCCATTTTTTAAAGTTATACTGGGCTTTAGAAACCCCTCCCTATTGGATATACAATAAGTCAAAGAATACAAGAAGCTGCATAAGTAAGTTTTCATCTGTACTCTTATCATCTCTCTTGCATGTTTTTATGCATGGATTGTTTTGTTTGATACTATTTTCTTACTACATTTGAATGTTAAATGTGCTTGTGTGTTTTGCTATAATATTTGCTACTAAAATTTTAATGCCTCATTATATATGCATGTTTACAAAAAGCAAAATCGCTCTAACGTAAATGTAGACAAGAAAAGAAAACTACTGGTATAGGTTAATTTATAATTCAGAGCGAGATCACCTTTCTGCTTCTATTTGTTTTTTCTTGTAAATATTATCCTGACATTTCTATATATTTAAGTTTTAGGTTTTTAACCTCCACTTTATATTAAAAAAGAGAGAAAATGGGTTTGTTTTATTTTGTCATGTGTATTAGTGGAAGTGTTGGGATCAATTCTGTAAGAAATGTTATTCAGCTTCTAAAAATCAGAATACAGATGCCCCACCAAAGGCTGTGAAAGCTGCAAAAATCAATCCCACACCAACCAGGCTCATCCAATGATCAAGAAATCAAGTGAAGGGCAAATCATACCCTCCCCCAGTAAAACCATTAGGAGGGTACTAAGAAACAGGCAAACTCATCCCCAGAACTTCTGATGGGAATAGGATTTGCACTCTCGGTGGAATGAGCAGCAGGTCCTGCCTCCAAACTTCAGATACCCTAAGTTTGCCTACAGATCCTGGGGAATCCAGGATCTGGAGAGGGAGACTATGCCATGGAGGTGGCTGATCCCCTTTCATACAGAGGCAGAGCAAGGGAGATTCATGTGTGGATCTTAAGACATAAATACTTTTATGTAGAGTTTCTACTGAGATTGGATGTGAGATGCCACTGATCTCAATAGAAATTTTGGGTAACCTCCCTGACACATGAGCTCACGTGAAATGGAGCAGAGGAATCTAGAAATTCTGGACAAAAATCTCCCATCATCTGTGCAGAGAGGGGAATTTGTGCCTGGGCTTTCCCCATCCTTGTGGATTTGTTGTCTCTACCAACCCCTACGGACCCAAATCTCCTGGACTGCTCTTCACAGTCCAGGGGTTCTCTGAGTGAGGAGCGGCAGGGAGCAGACAGGCTGGTGGCAGGTGGATGCACCCCTCCTTTTCTTCTCTCAACTGACTTCTCCTCTACAGGGTTCCCTCTCCCTTTAAGGGGAGTCCTCGGGGCAGCTGGCTCCACAATTTTCACTTGTGAGAGTGGGAAAACACTGCATTCACTAGGAAAACTCGTCCTATGTAACAGAGGATAGGAAGCAGTGGGCACAGCACCCAAACCACACAGATTTCTGGGATGCACTGAAAATGAAAGCTCCAATCCTGCACAAAGGCCCTCAGTGTCTGCTCTATAATTGATGTCTCTTCTGAATGTCACTTTTCAAAGTCATGGTAGACAGTCAGAGGAAACTCACTCAGAGAGAGACCCTGCGAGGGGCTGCCCAGTCACATGCCACTTAGTCCTTCAGAAGCTAAAAAGGGTTGTTAAATCATAGCAATTGAGATGGACTGTCTGATAATATTTGGCTTTGAAGAGAGCAGAATCCGCTTTACATGGTGCTCAAATGCTGATTTTTTTGTTCTAATTGAATGATGGGGTCTTGAATGACCTACCTTCTCCCTTGTTTCAGTGAAATTGGCCTCCGCTAGCCAAAGAGTATTTGCTTTTTTTAGAATGTAACCCAGATGTTTTATAAATTATAAAACACAATTCCTTTTTTTACTTGTATCAATGTAAGTTTCAGAACAATTTTAACATTTGTAAAAAGTGTAAATGTGTAGGACATGTACATGTTTTACAGTTAATTGTTAAACTTAAATGATAAATTAAATTAGTAAAATACAGGAATATTAGACATATTCAAGAGTCAGTTCTAAGCTTTTTTACTCGTAAACCTACACTTTTTAATTTAAACATCTACAAACTACAGTGCTGCTATATCCCTCATGATTGCTAATTGCCACTTGTTATTATTGCTGCATTAATAAATTATACATTATTTATGCAAATAATAATATAATACACATTTAAATGTGTATCAGATAATCTAATATTTTTTTCCCTTTCATTCTTCAGCAATGGCAAGCCGGCAGGTTGACATTGCTACTCAAGGATGGTTCATTGGTCTTATGTGTGCTGTTGCTCTTCTTATCTTGATTTTGCTGATTGTTTGCTTCATAAGGAGGAATAAGGGTGGCAAATATCCAGGTAGGATATACATCAATGTAAACTAAAATAATAACATGCAGGGGAAGTCACACCTGTTTATCAGCTAGTCATAGTGGACATTGACTGCATAGCATCATGTGCTAATAGCCAGTTAGAAAGCTTTCTTTGTGCCAATTGTTCCAAAGCTATTTCAGAATAAGTTGTACTCAATGCATTACTTAGCCACAGATGTGTCTGGATAGTCACTATGGCGTAGTTTTGTAAGTATAATTCCATAAATAAACTGAGATATACATAGCACACAATTACTAACTATATTGGTTGTTTTGATTTTAGCATGTCATGTTGAGCTGGCTTGTGGTAAAAAGAATCAGTTATTTCAATATGTAACTATAAGAGCCGGAAGTCACTACTCAAGAAGACATGCATTATCATAATTTTACCATCTGAAAATACTACCAAAGATGATTCACATCACCTTGTATAATGGAATATAAACTAAATATGTACCAACTATGAAAATTGTTACTTGCGTAAAAATTTGATACTATAAACCATATACCCATAACTACTATATCAGAATAACATATCAGAATAATAACTAGCAAAACAGTAATGAAAAGACACAAACATTATTTTTTAAAAAAACTTGTAAGATTCATAATATAATTTCCCATGGTTTATTGGCATATGTACTATATAGAGAATAAGACAGAGAATATATTATTGCCCTTATATAAATCGATGGTACGCCCACATCTCGAATACTGCGTACAGATGTGGTCTCCTCAGAAAAGATATACTGGCACTAGAAAAGGTTCGGAAAAGGGCAACTAAAATGATTAGGGGTTTGGAACGGGTCCCATATGAGGAGAGATAAAAGAGGCTAGGACTCTTCAGCTTGTAAAAGAGGAGACTAAGCGGGGGTCTGATAGAGATATATAAAATCATGAGTGATGTGGAGAAAGTGGATAAGGAAAAGTTATTTACTTATTCCCATAATACAAGAACTAGGGATCACCAAATGAAATTAATAGGCAGCAGGTTTAAAACAAATACAAGGAAGTTCTTCTTCACGCAGCGCACAGTCAACTTGTGGAACTCCTTACCTGAGGAGGTTGTGAAGGCTAGCACTATAACAGCATTTAAAAGAGAACTGGATAAATTCATGGTGGTTAAGTCCATTAATGGCTATTAGCCAGGATGGCTAAGGAATGGTGTCCCTAGCGTCTGTTTGTCAGAGAATGGAGATGGATGGCAGGAGAGAGATCACTTGATCATTGCCTGTTAGGTCCACTCCCTCAGGGGCACCTGGCATTGGCCACTGTCGGTAGACAGGATACAGGGCTAGATGGACCTTTGGTCTGACCCGGTACGTCCGTTCTTATGTTCTTATGTTCTAAAGTGTCCCTTTTAAATCATGTTCAAAAATGGCTGCAACAAAGGACTTTCACTACTGCCAAATGATGTACAGTATCTTGTCCTTCAGTAAAGATATTTTTAAACTACCACATATGTATTTTATTTAGAAGTAACAATCTAAGGCCCCAGATCCTGCCAAATCCATATTACTCATATCCACATAGGTCATTTTGCAGGATCAGGGCCTTAAATATTTAGTCCTAAAATTTAATGATAAAAATCCCAATTTCAAATATTGTAGTGAAGGAAAAGGAAGATGCACATGCTGATCCAGAAATACAGCCTATGAAAGAAGATGATGGAACATTTGGTGAATACAGGTAAGCAGCTGACACACAGTTTTCCTTATGTATCCTTCTTTTGTTACTTTTTGGATTTAGGAATAAAATATAGTTTATAGGAGATGACACTTATTTTATGAAAATGAAATTACAACTCTTTGTAATGGTGCAAATTACTTTGCATTTAATGTTTTACAGAATTAATTATAAATATGTCTTTAATGAGACTGGTAGAAAAATTTAAAACATCAAGAATTATGATTTGCAGTATTATGCTAATTTTATCATATATTTTAGTGATGGGCCATCACTGTAACATTCAGATCCAAATTTGAATTTTGATGTCTCAAAATTAAGGGCATTTCCATACAGAGTTTAGTCTCTCTGGCCCATCTTTAATATATTGAAAAGATCAAATACTTGGCAGCACTTTTGCCCTGTCCTGCAGCACATATAAATGGAAATGTGCTTCTCATATAAACATCGACAACAGTAACTTGTATCCCATTCATTGGAATGCAGGTTCTTTTAAAATTGCTGCCAGTACCAATACAGAAACACCAAAAAAATCAGTTAAATGACAGAGAAGAGGGACTATCGCTCAGGAAAAACACACCACTCTAGAAAATTCAGTGCATGAGATGCAGCAAACTGCTTCAGACCATGCCACTTAGCTGACTGTCATTCTTGCATGCCATTTTTGACTGTCATTCTTATAGAAACATGTGAGCTGAATCTCCTTGCAGCACACAAAAAAATGCTCTTTAAAGAAGTCTTTTCATAATATTTACATATGGTGTGTTTTAAAGAGAGCTGTAACATGATATTAAATACATTTTGATTTAGTACAGAAAAGGATTTTATTATTTCTTTCACAGGTCAGTGTTACATTTATTGTTCCATAGGTAATATATTCTTTATAATATATTCCTATGTAAATAACATTTTAAAAGACTTTAATTTTTGTATGTAATCGATTCTAGTGCATGGAAAGTCTGTTCTTTCAAATGGGGTTCACTGGACTGTTGTAACATTTTTTGTGTAGCGGAATGTGCATCTCATCTGGCTGGAATAATTTCTATATTTTTTCACTGTTCTGAATGCCAAAGAGCAGTTTCTCTTTACTCCTGCGGCTATTAAAATTATTCTAATCCCTCATAATATTCGCCAAGTCAGTACAAAAACATTTTAAACTTGGTGTTTGTTTTTAATTTTAAATGCCTATTGGGTTAATTTAGTTGATTTTAGCTGACAAAAATGAGAGACCGAAAGCATTGGCTGGAAACAGGCATAATACAAACAAGTACTATACAAGCTTCTCTATACAGTCCAGCTACTGTATCTGACTTCTAATTTACAGCCCCTCTGCTTTTCTATTCCTGGACATTTCTTTAGCAGAAACTGACATTGATGCAGAACTGTGCCAAATTATGTGATGGCTTTGTGATTTTGACAAATACTCAGTCAGGTCTAGGATGAGACCAGTGAATTTGCTTTTTATGTGTGACATGTACCAGGGTCTGAATGTATGTATCCATATCTAAATGGCTTGTATGTTAACCAACAGAACCATCTAGTGCTTTGTTAAATGGTTTTATAATGCATTTTAAGAAAGATATTACCAACCCATTGTGTGGTGAATATGGAGAATAACATGTGCAACTTCTATAATTGTTCACAGGAAGGGAGTTGCTCATCTAATTCACCATGCAGAAAACTTCTTTCTAAAATGAATTTCTGAGCCATTAGTCTATGACGGGCTTTCCTCTTTTTCTCCTTAGAGACAGGGCATCTACAGCAACCAGTCAGACTGCAGAAGATGTTTTGGCTCCCTCTCTGCAGCTCAGCATCAGTGCAGCCAATTAGTTCCCAGTTTCCCTCTGCCTCACACAGTTCTGGTCATGGTGCAATGCTTCTTTGAGGAAAGGTGGTTTAGGTTCTTCCTAAAAATTTCTCTAAGAATTTGAGTATTTTGAATTTTTCATCACTTCAGGTCCATGTCTATGTGGACAATAAAGAAATTGGACAAAGACAGGAAGGGAAAAGGTAACTGTGCCACCAAAACTCCTGAAGCAGACCCTGGCTTTACCAAAGCAGCGTCTGTGAAATCTGAGCAATCCAACTTGTCCAGAAGATCAGCAGATGAATCAACCAGGACCAGATCAGAAGCCCTCTCCTCCATGACCATGGCTAAGCAGTCTTCAAAGCTCTCAAGGGTTAGTTCCCTTTCCTGTTCCCTCTGCCAGGATGTAAAGAGATCAGATGAGTGGAAATCCAGGGATGGCTCTGGACATCATGTTTCTCAGCAACAGATAATGGGGACAGAGGAGGGGTTAGATTCTCAGGCAGGATGGCATTCCCCCTTTCAGCAAAGGTTCAGCCGGGCCCTGGTTTGCGGGTCACTGGCAGGACAATGTTCCTCACTCCAGCAATGAGTCAGCCATGCCCCAGACCACAGCTCAGATTCAGTGGACAACCACGGGTCCCATCGCAAGATGGTAAGACCTTCTATTACTACTACTACTACTACTACTCATTTCTCTGATTCTGACAAAAGTTCACTAATGAGAGCTGTAATATTGCCTGAGATTACTACCATTTTAAAGGATGCACTTGCCGTGGCCAGGCACAGTATTGCTTCTGCTACGCAGGCTGGACCGCTCCAGTAAAGAATTCCAGGGTACCACATACAGCAGTTGCACTGGTTTCCCCTGAAGCAGCTGGGCACAAGTCCCAGGTCTTGGTCTCTGAAGGTATGGACAATTTAAACAGGCTAGCAGCTTCCAAGAAAGAGGAGTCTAAGGCTAACAGGGCATTTGAGGATGAGTCACCCTCGGAAGGTGGGGAAGTGTCTTCTGCTTGTTCTGTGGAAGAACAAGAGGAGCCTGAACCTGCACGTAAATTTAACATGGAGAATCAATATTACTTATTCGAGTATATTAAGAGAGTACTAAAGCTAAAACAACCCAGTTCTGAAGAGCCTTCAGAAGAATTGCCTATCCTGTCTGAAGAGGACAAGGTGGATAAGACCCTTTCCATCCATTCAGCAGTGCAAAAACTGGTCTGTAGAACTTGGAGTGATCCTGGGGCAAAACATGGAGCCCCAGCTGTTCTATGTAAGCTATATCCTCTTCCAGCAGATAAAGCTTCTCTGGGGACATGGGGAGGGCCTTACCCAAGGTAGATAAAGCAGTGGTCACTGGTGATACTAAATCTTCTTTGCCTGTTAGTGTGGATGCTGTCCCCAAAGATCCTACTGATAGAAAGGTTGAGGCTGCGATTAAAAGATCTTTCAATTTAGCTACAGCCCAACTTGGAGCCTCCATCTATTCTACCTGTGCTACTAGAGCCTTACTAGTCTGGCTGGAGGAAGAATTAGCCAGAGATAAAAAGGAAGGGGTCCCAGCCAGCGCCATGCCGAAAACACAGTATCTGTGTAGAATTACAGCTAATTTCATTCACGATGCAGCAGAGGATTCTCTTAGACTCACAGTTAAAAATATGGCCTGCCTCACAGTAGCTAGGAGGTCCATCTGGCTACGTCCCTGGTCTTCAGAATTGGTATAAAATATCAGCTGTTATCTTTACCATACAAAGGAGGCATGTTATTTGGAGATTCCTTGGACCAGGCCCTTAAGGGTTTCTCAGAGCACAAGTGTTCCCTCCATCACCTGAAAAAGAAAAGATCCTTTCCCGTCTCTTCACTTCCTTATCCTCGAAAATGTCAGACTCCCTGTTGTTCTCTACCTAAATTTAAAGGGGGGAAGGGAAAGTATGGGGTCTCTCAATCCTTTCGTGCCACTACATAAACAAGTCTGGTTTTCAAGGAGACAATAGATCCATCAAGAGGAGCCTTCTGACTTTATAGGGCTGTTTCCCAGTCTCCCAAGAGCCAAAATAGATGGAAGAAGTTGACATATTCAGTGACTGGACTATGATACTGGACATGTGGATCCTTTTGATAGCCCTAAATGGGTACAGCACAGAATTTGTAGAAACGCCCTCCCTTCCTACTGAATTCCATCTCTGTTCCACAAGAAAAAGCAGAGTGTTTTATCAACTCTCTCTCATTTGTTATCAGCCAAGGCTGTGATTTCAAGCCCTACTGAACAAAAAAATCTAGGTATCTACTCTCTGAATTTCATAGTCTTCAAATAGAGACCAGTTCTGGACTTCAGGTGACCCAATCTATTTGTAATAAATTAAAAACTGAGTAATCCAGAACTCTCTTCACAGCATTATAGCCAGGAGATATCAGTAAATCCACAAGATGCTTATATACTAGGCACATCACTATAGATCACCAGTATCTCAGTTTTTATTTTATCAATCAGCACCATCTTCAGTATCAGCCCTTCCATTCACTTTGATTTCTGGCCCTACAGTGTTCTCAAAGGTCATGGCCGAAGTGGCTGTAAGAAGGCACAATCCCATATAGAAAGAATTAACTGTCTCAAAGCAAGGTGCAAAGGATTCTACCACAAATTAATACTTTCCAGAAAGGTCACAGATGTCAGATTTAAGAAGATTCATTGTCCCATTTATATTCTAGTCTTCTTAGTATCCTGTACAGATGTGATGTCTTGGACTGTTTTCAGTTTAGACCTCTTCAATTGTGATTTCTCTGTATGAGGGCACACATGAGCTGGTTTAGCCTCTTCAGTTGGTGAATGTATTTCCTGCCAGATGAATCCAATGAAGGGAAAGCCACTTCAGGAAACCCAGCAGCACATGCACACCTGCTCTTATGGGGAACATACCTGGACCATCACAAAGTAGAAATGAAATTGAGTCCCTCCAGAAAGCTATTTTATATCAACATACTGTAGTTAAGCGCAGTCAGGAAATCCCTGTGCCTCTTCTGAGTCTTGGAAGAAGATTAGTCTAGGTCAGTATGCTGTGAACAGAAAATGTCTTAGTAGTGACACAAGAACTAAGCAGGAAGTATGAGAAATTAGTGACTGTGTAAAGAGACCTGAAGTCAGAGACTATACAAGGATCTCCTGTTCCCCTCAGTGCAAAAGTACCAAAGAGGTGTC